CAACAAAAGACCCACATTATGCCGCCCATACATACCCGCATCCGCAGAATACCTGTCACTATCAACCTCTCATCTACCTATCCCATTTCCTTAAATACTCCTCCTCCATGGTTAATCGATATTCCACCCTGTAACACAGAACTGCTTATACTCCCAAAAGATGAAACTCCTGCTGCACTGATCCGAAAATCATTCCAGGCCATTTCTTCTAAGTTCTCTAACTTCAATCACATCTATACCGAAGCTTCTAAATCAGAAAAAGGTGTGGGAGCAGCCGTATTCAGCAAACATGAGAGTAAAAGTTACAAACTACCTAGCGTCAGCAGTATTTACACTGGAGAGGTTTATGCCATCGCACAGGCAATTATACATGCGAGACAAGTAAATGAAAACTCTGTAATATTCACAGATTCATTGAGTGCAATAGAGGGAATCCGCCAATTATATCCTAAACATCCTCTTCTACAACAAATTAAGATTGAGCTTTTCAAACTTCACCAAGAAGGAAAAAGAGTCGAGATAATCTGGATACCTTCACACATTGGGATACCAGGAAATGAGAAAGCCGACATGCTGGCACGTAACGCTCTCTCAAACACTAGTGCAGTGACATTCGAAAAAACACTACACATAGACATATATCGTCAGATTAAAACTTCCATAAACGCTATCTGGAAGCAGAAATGGCAATCTTCAACTGCCAATAAACTGTACAAAATAAATCCCAACATGGAAATAAAAAATTATGCTGCCCTTAGTCGAAAAAATCAAATAACCATAAGTCGCCTAAGAATTGGACACACTCGTCTCACTCACCAACATTTACTAAAAAAGGAAGCTCGAAGTGAATGTCAAAATTGCAACATGGACCTAACTGTGGAACACCTATTCAAATGTCAACAGCACCAACAAGAGATAAACGAATTGAAGTTGACCGGAGACATATCCACCATTCTAAATAGAGAATGGAATAATGTAATAAAATATGTTGAACGAATCCATATATTTAATTCAATTTAATGTATACTGATATACTGTATCTCATATGTACCGCCGCTAATAACCCTATGTGGTTGATGCGGTTTGAAATCTAAATAAAAAAAAAAAGATAGCCAAAGTATTCAATGCTATTCCTGAACTTTCAAAAAAAACTACCACCCTCTCAGTTTGAAATCAAATTGTATTATCGCCAGTCACTGATCTTTATTCATGTATTCATATACTTATGTTAATGATATGCTACTTCAATACCCATGCAGATACTTTTTTAGGTTGGGTGGAAGAACAATGTAGCAGTTATTTGCATATCTGCGAAAATTGAACTTCGCTTTTTACTACAACTTTATATATGTAGTTAGAAATTAATATTGTTATATTTTTTTTGTGTGGTTGTAGTAATGAAGACGTTTATTATTATTATTATTCTTGAATAGTCATGAGGTTAAATTGAAAATCATAACATCAAAAAAATTTCATGATTAAATAGTATGCAGATGCANCAATGCACAGAGTTTATTTCGTAAGTTCTGGACTCCTTTTCCATAATCTTGTAATGCGAGTTGTCAAACACACATTCTCGAGAAATTGAATATGAAAGTGGCTTTCAAAACTGCTCATCTTATCAAAAAGTTGAGACGATGGAAAAGAAAAAGTCTGAGATTGACGAAATGAGCTCGCTACGGAACAAGTTTCAAATATTCGACTTCATAGATCAAAGAAGTCTAGTGTTGCTCAACATGCTATAGAGAATGGTCACAGAATAAGCGAAAAATGCTTAAAATTATTGAGACCGGTTCATGACAACAAGTTTTCCGATGTCTTCGGAAGTTCAGAAAACGAAAATTGTGGAAGTAGATCAATGAACTGTAATGAAGGTATCATACCTGATAGCTCATTTATCACACTACTAAGCAATTGCAGGTAGACAGTAATGGTCATTTTTCGCGAGTAGATCATTATATGACGCATAACATGAATGTTTCAAAACAATAATAATTTATGAAGAATATCCCGAACGAAGAATATCGCCAATGAATTCCATCACAAGAAACAACCTAAGACAGATTGGATGAGAATAGTTTGAAACTCAACTATCGTGTATCCAGAATACTTTTTGAGGCTTTATCTCTTAGTTATTCCTTTGTTTCGTTCACTATCTGCAGGACAAAAATAATACGGTCGTAGATGTTAATAATTTCACAGTGAACGTACGAATGAAGGAAAAAATGGTTTTGAGAATTGAGATGATAAAACAGCATCTGTTCATGAATCAGATAACAAACGCAATTTTTGTCGAAAGTATACTAGGCAGAGAAAAACAGTGTTTGACTTTTAAATAACAAACCATTAGAATGGCTCTGAAAAGCGATTGAAATTGCTTCCTTGATAAGAAGTCCTGTGTTCTCCGTGAAGAATGTGCCTTTCTAGAGAGTTATGGAGCTGATGTTTGATAAGGTGTAGTAGAACTCAATATCGCAACTTAAATTTTTTTCATTAACTTTGAAAAACACTTATAACTTTTAAACAAGGTGGTGCTTTCATTTATTACTCAAAATTGTAACCAATTACTTTAAAGAGCGATCTGGAATGAACTGACTGGGTAATTGTGAACTTATCTTCTCGATTACTGAACTTCAAGATGATTGTGTTCAGTATAAGAGAGGTTCATGATCGAAGTGATCTATGAATTAGGATGCATCAACATTTCATGTCCAACAAAGCAAATTAGTCCCAGATATCAGAACAGACTGAGTTGAATGCGTCAATTATTTTCATGTATTGAAGCAGTGAAAGTTACTAAGGGAAAGTATCTGAATACATCAATTGAAAATAAAACAATACATCTGAAAAAAATATTAATCGATATTTTTCTACATTTCACTGTTTTACAAAAGTAAAGACTCACATCAACTGCCAGGATAAAGTGGGTGGTTTATTCAACATGACAAATAGCATTCCTACAACAGGCCTAACATTTCCAGATTGAAACTCCATTTCAACGTAAGCGCATATTTCAATAATTAATTTACTTCAGATGAGTTGAGAATGCACGCTTGACAGACATATACATACCGGTGTCTCTAACCCAGTAGTTAATGGATTTCGGATAAGCTTCCACATTACATTCTAGAGTAACGTCGGTGCCGAGAGGAGCTCCCACTAGTTGATTCGGCACGTGGATCACGGGATGAACTGTAAAAAATAAAACTATGATAGAATCTTCCGAATGAGACATATGCAGTTTTATATATAATTCTGAGCTATTTCAAATTTCGTTATGAATGAGCTTGATTGACACTATTGACATACGTATCATATTGCATGAGAACGATTATTTTGAAGTACGGTTTTCTTTTTGGACAGATTCTTATGTTTCATTTCACTTTTCATAAACACCTTTGCTGTACAATTTGAAATGAGCCTTCAATCATAACACCTACATCATTATGGGAGTGACATTTGAAATTTTAACCAAATTCTTGAATGTTATAGAGCGAGAGAACAAAGAGAGCTGAAAACTTTAGTCATGAGGTTCATGATTTTGTTGGAGAAGATACTTTCTCCATTGAATCTCGTTACAATGGTCAAGACTCGAGTCGCAGTTTGGTTGGAGAAAGCGATTTCGCAATAATTGTTGAATGAAATATTCGAGGAAAATAACAATCTTATTGACTTATTATAATTTCACAATATTTTGGAGCATTTTGTACTTAATAGATAAGTACTATTCTGATCATTCCCATATTGATTTCAATTCAGGAGTCACCGGAAGACAGCTGTTTCAGCCTATTGGACAAAATGTGAACAACCAAGAAAAGTACTAAATGAAAATAACTGCGTAAACGCAAGCGAGACATAAGTGGAACCACCTATTGGTGTGATACGCAAGTCAAGTTGGCAAGTTCTTATGTCAGTGTTGGTGGTTTGACCACCTCGTATGAAATCCTATTCCTTCTTTCAAGACTATGAATTATACGTAGATATAATTTTTGTACTTTTTGGATACGAAAGTCATCGGACTTTCGAAGAAAAGGACCATGAACCCTGTCACAATAATTAAACTACAATAGAACCATCGAGTGAGAAAACTATTTGTTTTATTTTCAATTTAAATTCTTTTTGATGAGATTATACCAATTTTGAAGCTGCGCATGCCGATTTAAAAATTTCATATTTGTCAAATCGCAATTTTGAGACCAGACGCAAATCAATATATACGTTGCCCCCATTTTTAGTATTTCATTTCCCAACAAAATGACGCAGGACTTCGAAGAATTGATTTTTAGAAAATATTTTTTGATAATTTCACGATACGCGATAGGTTTGCATCAATTATATAATCAGCATTTTTCATTTCATTCCAATTGAAATGAACATACAGTTGAGTGTCATCGGCATATAAACGATAATTGCAGTGGGAAAAATTATGATGAAAGTTTGATGTATGAAAAAGGACCAAGAATGCTACCTTGTAGTACATACCATTGTTGGTCAAACTATCTGAAAGTTCATCATCAGTGTTTACCTGTTGTTGCCGATTTGTCAAGTATGATTCAAGGAGTTTCAGTAACGTCCTGCTGAATTCAAGATGATGTATGATGGATAAATATATCTTATGATTAATTGTATCAAAGGCACGGAAATAATCTGTCATAATGGGAACAAACAATTCATTGTTGTCTATTGTCTTAACTATATCGTCAGTAACAACACTGAAGTCACTCTTATAGCCAAACTGATGTTAAAGAAGTCATTTTCCATATGCGGAATACGTGCGTGTATGTTTTCCTAATGTTTTTGTGAAACTTTGGATAGAGTCAAGAAAAATGCTAATACTTCTTAACTGGCTAAAATCAGTTGCATTGGCAATGTTGGGCATTGGTAATACAAATGCCCTATTTCAGGCAATAGGAAAATAATTTCCAATTATACAGGCTTTGAAAATATCAGTCAAAAAAGATTCAATCGAAAAAAAACAAGGAATGATGATTCGACTGTTGGTATTGTCATAACCAAAAACCATTGTTTTAAAATTTCTTTTAATTTTCACTAATTCATCTTCAGTTGTATGTTTGAAAAAAAATTGTTCCGATTCATTCACCTCGCTATTATTATAATAATTCAATATATCATTGTCAGGCATGAAATTGTCTTCGATTTCATTAGCTGAATGATTGTTATATTCTTCAGGATGTTTCAACGAATCCGCTATTAAGTATTTTTTTTACGTTGGGCACAGTTGGAAAGTTCGAAATATCAATATGCTTTCTTTATTGTTGATATGTGAAATCACGCATTTTTTTGTAATATTTCCAATGGGGCTGTAGTTCAGATTTTTTTATTATCTCGTCGAAGCCCTGTCTCTCAATTTTTGAAACAATTTCATGTTATTTGTCATCCAGGGCTTGTTTTTCTGTTCATTCGAGTTGGAACTTCGTTACAGTTTTTGATTTTGAGTAACAGAAAATTATGTTTATATGTAGTGTGTACTCGAATATGTATGTTAGAAATCACACGTTATAAGGTAAGACCTCGTTAGTCCTTAGCTCGCACAAGTTTCTCAACTTCTGAGGGTTGTTGTTCGTATGGGGGCGACAGCTGATTAACGGAAAAACAGATTTTTTTTAAACAGATATTATGAGTCATTCTCCAAGATTAAGTGGAAGAGACCTTCTCTTTCGATTGGGTCACCATTCAAAGTAGAGCGAACTTTGCCTTCCGCTCTGCATTTCACTTTTGCTTGTATTGGATATGTGTGATCTCTCATCAATTGAATCTATATTATCATAATTATCATTATCATAATTGAAATGGTGAAGATGAATAGATCAGTGGTTCTTTAACTGCGAGATTATAGAACACAATTATGATCGAAGTTCAAATATTTTACACTGACAAAACTCACATGAAACTAATATTCAAATAGGATACATGAATTATTGATGAATTTATTCCATTTGTATTTATTGAAAGCTAAATTGCATATTTTGATCGACGTTCGGTATATCAAAATTCATACTGAAAAGTATGGCAATCAGATATCAATATTTCATAAACTTTCTTATTATCTAGTTGATGACCTGTCGCGACAAATCAGAATTGCACTCTAGCAATATATATATTCTATACAAGCATAAATAAGAAATAAGTTTAGAAGAAATTACCTCAAAAATTATATTACATAATTTTTACTCAACGGTGAGAAATATTCTCAAACATTGGTAATGATAAATGCATTTGTGGAAAGATAAGATGGTTCAAAAACATTTTCTTTGACTTTCAACTTCCCTGGTGAATATTAATCAGTAAAAAACCTAAGAGATACTTGTATCTTAATTTGAGATATCCAAACGAGATGTGCCCTAAAATAAGAATCAAGGTTGAAATATGATTCTAATGTGGAAGACAATAAGCTGTTTTTCTTTCACCTTCATGAAGTTAGGAAGGAACTCGCTAATTCTTATCTCACACAAGTTTCGACTTCCGAGAGTTATCGTTCGTGAGGGAGCGACAGCTGATTAACAGAAAAAACATATTTCAACTAAATGAACAGAGATGAATATAATTTGGAACTCCTGGCATGAAATGAATCTATTGAAAACACTTTTCCTCTCACCAGAAATAAATGCTGTCTCGCGACGTGCGCTTTGCTAACTAGGAAAGCATTATATCAGGTACTTATGATGCACTGTTTGGACCCTTTGGTGTAGTAATGAATATAACTGGAGTTTTTTCACAACACCAAATCGATATTTTCAACACTTCGACACGTGTTTCGATCACCAAGTGATCATCTTCAAAGAAGAAGATTAAAACTAAGACCTATATGGTTGGTACGCCTGGATGGTTTACCTGCATGGGTTACCTTCATAGCATAAATAGGATTAGCTCGCACTACTTCTTAGTTTCAATCTTCCTCTTTGAAGATGATCACTTGGTGATCGAAACACGTGTCGAGGTGTTGAAAATAACGATTTGGTGTTGTGAAAAAACTCTATTAATATTCATTATATCAGATGACCAATACTACTTCTTATAAGCTATGTTGATGTTAGCATATGTATCTACACCAATGATTTCTTTGCATAATGAGTGTCATCAAATTAATTTCTAGTATTTTGTTATTGTCCAATTGTTATTTACTTCCTGACTGATACTGAATATTTACCTTTTTTCTACCTGTAATTGCGTATTAACTAGTGCGAACAATTAGCTGTGAGCAATGGGACATTCATAACCGTTCCTAGATCTCTTTTAACATTTTTTGATTTACGAACTTTCGAGGGCATCTTAAAACTTGTTGTCATGTACCGGTCCCCAGACCGGTACCGGTACAAGCGTAGCCATTCTCTATGGCACTAGACTTTTCTGATCCATGAAATCGAATATGTGAAAAATGTTGCTCATAGCGACCTATTAATCAATCTGTTCAGTCTGACAAACATCAGACAAACATCGCAATGCACAGAGTTCATTTCGTAAGTTCTGGACTCCTTTTCCATAATCTTGTCATGCGAGTTGTCAAAAACACATTCTCGAGAAATTGAATATGAAAGTGGCTTTCAAAACTGCTTATCTTATCAAAAAGTTGAAACGATGGAAAAGAAAAAGTCTGAGATTGACGAAATGAGCTCGCTACGGAACAAGTTTCAAATATTCGACTTCATAGATCAAAGAAGTCTAGTGTTGCTCAACATGCTATAGAGAATGGTCACAGAATAAGCAAAAAATGCTTAAAATTATTGAGACCGGTTCATGACAACAAGTTTTCCGATGTCTTCGGAAGTTTAGAAAACGAAAATTGTGGAAGTAGATCAATGAACTGTAATGAATGTATCATACCTGATAGCTCATTTATCACACTACTAAGCAATTGCAGGTAGACAGTAATGGTCATTTTTCGCGAGTAGATCATTATATGACTCATAACATGAATGTTTCAAAACAATAATAATTTATGAAGAATATCCCGAACGAAGAATATCGCCAATGAATTCCATCACAAGAAACAACCTAAGACAGATTGGATGAGAATAGTTTGAAACTCAACTATCGTAAGAATATTTGAATTTTAATTTTGTTTTTTGTTAGAAACCATATGTAGGGTATTTTATTAGCCGCTTCCTGCCTTTAAATTCAAACAAAACAAAAGGTGTATGATATATCGAAATTTTTTACTCGTCTAAAAGACC